CGACATTTGATGGCAAAAGAACATAAAATAATAACTTCATTGTGATTAGGAAAAATAATTATCAACTAGGAATTCCAGACAAAGCTAAATTATCATTTAAGATTGATTGGAAAATTAAGATACATTCAGAAAATTATTTCAAAGTTATAGCACAAATGACACATGTTGAAAAAACTACAAAAGGAAATACTTCATTAAACTGAAGGAAATTATGCAAGAGAACTTAAAGGAGAAGTGGATTGCAAGAAGAAATGATGAGCAAAGAAGTTGGTAGATTGCATTACTTTAAATTAGCTATGGTAGAAAAATAATAATAGAAATAATGACTAATTTGCAGGAATGAAATGGTAAAGTCAAAGGCAGGTGTAACTCATTGAAACTCATCCCAGTCTTCATGATGAACTTTTTTACAGCAGGTTATCTTTCTGTTGCTGGTACTTAGTTTCCCTGTTTTGATCATATATTCTGCAGAGAATCTCTAAATTCTTGTATGTGATCATTCTACCACACAAACCTAATCACGTCACTTTTCAACTTAAAATCATTCAATGACATGCCATTGTCTATGAGGTAAAGCTCCAAAAGTTAAGTTTCCATTAGTGTTGTCTTTTTTTTTTTAAACTTGCAGGCAGCATGTACATTGTATGTTATTTCATTGATCCTGAACTCTGCCATTCCAGGAATAGGGCATCCTTTTTATACTTTTACGCTACTCGTGCTGTCTCCTTATACTGAAGTTTTCTTTCATTGTGTTCACTATATATGTTTCAAAACCTACCTTAGCTTTCACTCCTTCTAATAATCCACCATTTACCATTATATGATCCCTTCATCTGTGTGTATGGGTATTTCCACATGTTAAATATATGCACACACATACATAATGTCCACTTAATATATTGTGGTTGCCTATTTATACATCTCTCTTTTAATTAAATGTTGAGTCTGTTGAGGGAAGTGTCCGTTTCATGTAGGTTGTCTGTTGCAAAAAAAAAAGAAAGAAAAGAAATGAATCCTAAAATTGAATAATCTACTTTGACACTAGAATATGAATTTGGAGATTATCTAGTCCAAATTTGTTATTTTATAAAAGAGCCTAACAGGCTATGTAGAAATTATTAGTCTGTACTACACCAGTGTTTGAAAAATCTGTGTTCATATTGGGAAAGCTAAGTTTCTGCTATATTAGTCAAGAATCTTAGAAATCTTTTCTCTGGCCCTGGCTGAGCAAAGGTACCTGGTTTATCATTAACACCACCAAAAATAATATACAGTATGATTTAAGAGTGCTTTAGCTTAGAATCATTAGTATTGAATAATTCTTCTAAAATCTAGGCTTCCTATGGAAAACCTCTGTTAAAACCCAGAAGTGAGCTTGTGAAGATTAGGTGTTCCAATCTTTCCTGTTGAAGTTTATTTCCATCATTGTTACAAACAGTAATACCTATTTTTGCAACTTAGGGATGCCACTTTCTGCCTGTTTCTTTCAAGACCATCTGTATGAAAGATGGACACTAAGGAGGGTTCTCCTGCTCCACTAACAATTCAGCACCTCTCGCTGTCCATGTTTGTTTTTCTGACCTGCTGTTTGTGCAGTATCCTTACTTTTCAGTTCCCCTTAAACTAGTGTAATTCTCTTAAAGAATTAGATCTTTATTAGTGACATACCTGTGCACATACACATTGGTTTCCTGTTTCTCACCTGCTGGCTCAGTTGCTTCTGCCATTAGCAGCTGGATCAGGCTGGACAATCCATAGCTTATCCTGGTTTGGGAGTAAGTGGGGAATTCCAGATGAAAAAACAAGTATTCTGGTGAAAGTAAGTGAGGGAAAGTCTACATCACAAATGAAACACAAAGATTAAATTATAATGTGATTGTTTGAAATTCAGAAGGACTCTTTTTAAAATAAAATAAAAAGCAGTATCAGTTAGGTTCCAAGGATGGTTCACATCAATCAGAAAGATTACGAAAGGTTAGGATGAAGAGAAGAGGATGGCCCAGTGAATTTGGATGCATTAGCTGAAATCTTTCTAGAGGCAGTTTTACTGGTGCTTGACAGAAGGTAAAGTACAATTGTACAGAGTAGAATAGGAGCTGTTAATTTGAAAAAGATGAAAAGAGGAGGATAGTAACAGAGGACGAGGGAGAATTTATGCCAGGCCTCTTTAAGACACGGGATTGATTCTAATCCATGGGCTTCAGCCAAGAGGAAGATGGTTCTGTTATTGTTGTGATTTCAAGAATAAAATCTTAGGCATCTGTATTTATAGCATATGGTGTTTTGTAGTTTTTAAGCTGCCAACAATGTGAGTTCTACTTTACAAATACAGATGGTTAAAATCACATGCACAGAAAGTGATCTTTTCATTATTACAGACCCTATGCCTTTGATTCTTCATGTTCACTTTTATTATACTTTCATCATCTGACAAATACTGCTACTGCTTTATGTTATCATTTATGTAGAATTTTATGCAAAATTTCATTAATTTGATTTTCATGTGCTATCTTTGTTTTGATAATACCCTCTTTACATACCAGTTTTTGATAACCTATTTCTTTTAAGTAGATACTGTGTAAAAGGAGTTATGGAGCTTTCATAAATTATTCAATGTGGTCTATACAAGGTAAAGAAAACTGGAAGAAATAACAATAACTATTAATAATATACACTCTAGTGTAACTAGATTAGATCAACCAGGATAGTGTAATATGTACTATATAGTGTTTCATTTCAAAATGAAAACTTATTTTTTCAGAATAATACATCTAGATTAACTATATTCACGATGAGTATACGATGTGAATATAAGGTACAGTGGAAGGTGCAATGACATTATTTAATTGTTAGGCAGAATTGTGTAATTTTAATCATTTTAAAATGATATTAACAATTAAAAATCAAAATAGACCAAAAATTAGAAATAGCTCAAAACATTTTACTGCATTCTAAGTTATTACAAATTTTTCTTCTTTGTTGTCCAACAGAAGCCATATACTTCTAAGATACAATAGTTCAATGAGACAGTTTTTTAATTAGGGACAATTGAAGCTGTGATAATATAATGAGAACATTCTAGCAATTTGCATTTGCATAATGAACAAAGTATATTCAATGTTTTATAGAGACTAAAATAACTAGTGTAGCTTATCTTAAATGTTGGAACTACTCAGAAATTCAGATAGACTATAATTGACCTAATAATTACCTGTGAAAAAAATTCTTTAGTATGGAGAATACTGAAACATTCGTGTTCCAAATTAGAGGTATTTAATGTATTGACTATTTTATTATCTTATAATATATATTTATTAGTTAACATTTTTAATATGTCATTATTCTTTATTTTAAATTTCATGCTTATGTGAAATCTCAAATAAGCTGTTGCAGGAATATACTTTGTATTTTAAAGAAATAATATATATTTACATATAGTTTATATAGGCATTTTATTGAATTCATTATTTATTAAAGCATATTCACTGTACTTAGGGTATTGACTACATTTGCTTAAAATTTTCCACATTTTAAAGCTAAATTTGATTTGTACTCTAGATGTTAGTTCTGATGTGCACTTGGTTTAAGATCTAAAGAATATTGGCTCAAATCCATGGTTCATGTCCGCAAAAGCCCAGGGCCACCACGAATACTTCTTCATATTTCAAATGCCCATTATTCTGGTCATATGGCTTATTTTCCTACATGCACTACAACTTCCTTTTCAGTTTACCATCTTTCATGGATTCTTTCTTTCAATCTGGACATGTACCCAAACTAGACTCTCGGTGCCTTTTTCTTATTTGTGCCAACTCTCTCTCTCTGGCTTTCCACTCACAATAAATCACAAAAAAAAATCACTAACCATCACCAGTAGTAATTACCAGTAGTGGCATTATTCATAATAAACAAAAAGGAGGAAACAACCAGAATTCCCATCAACTAGTAAGTGAATAAATATGTGGCACATTTGTACAATTGAATGATGTTCAGCAACATAAAAGAATAGTGATGCTTGCAACAACATGGTTTGGTCTTGAAAAAAAACATTGTTCCAAATGAAGGAAACCAGCCATAAAAGACCATATATTGTATGACTCCATTTATATGAAATGTTCAGAATAGGCCAAATCTATAGAGACAGCAATTAGATTAGTGAATGCCTTGTATGGGTTGTTGTGGGGGAATTGGAGGAAATGGGAGTCATAACTAAAGGATGTGGGTATTTTCTGAGGTGTAAAAATGTTCTAAGTTGATAATGATAATAGTTTCACAACTGCAGATATATTAAAAACCAGTGAATTTTGAAAATTAAAAGAATGAATTGTGTAGTATGTGAGTTATATCTCAATAAAACTGTTATTTAAAACATCAAACAGTCTTTGTATTTTGGCAATCACCAAGACAGAGGTTTCTTTCTGGATAAATGGCAATTCAAAGATCAGGCATAAACATTGAAAAATGAAACTACATCATCTCAGTTCTTACCATGAGATACTCAGCCAGCCCCCAAAGTATGGCTACAGACTTTTCTTGGACATCCAAAATCTCATTAATGTCCTATAACATCTGCTTGGGTCTCATCCATTTTTCTCTGCCCCACTTCACCTATCTAAGGAAAGTATCAATTATAATTCTCCACTGACAGAAGTATTACAGTAGCAAACCTCAACTTTATTTTTCCACCTTTACTGCTTAGGACACAATAGCAACTATAGGAAGTTTTGGTGTTAAAATTCCTGTCTTGATTACACACTGTTTGATCATAGGGATGTGTACATTTTACTTTCTGAACAGAACAGGTGAGACTGGAGTACAACAATCTATTCAGTCTGAGTTTTGTGGATAGAAGCAGTAATATCACTTAATAAAAGAATGTGAAGACAGTTTACAGCTAAACGCTATATAAATTCCTGGATCAAATAGTGTTTGATGGGATTAGAGAGATCTAACAAACTCCTTTTAATAATTTATGTACAAGTTTCACTCTCTCGTTTCAGATCCAGCTAAAGATCCATGCTTAAAGATGAAATGTGGTCGCCATAAAGTATGCATTGCTCAGGATGCTCAGACTGCAGTCTGCGTTAGTCACCGGAGGCTCACACACAGGTAAACGTTATATTAAATTCCACTGATTGAATGGTATTCCTTATACCATGAACAACTGCAGGGTATAAATATTTGGCAATGTCTGCTAAACGTTTATCCAGAGTTTTATTGAATCAGCTTCAGAACCTTGCTTAATACAATTATGGTTCACTTGGGTGAAACATCATCAATCAGATTTACTATGGGTTATAGAATTTAGGCATATATTATTAAATAAAAAGGATCTTGAGAAGATTGAATTAAAATGGTATGTTTGCATACTTATGCTTTTTTAAGTTTAAGGAACAAGTAGAGTTTTACAGTTTTGCCGCCCTCTAAATATTTTTACTTATGCCCATTCAAACATTCTATTTCCCTCAGAGGAGAATTGAAAACAAAGGTAAAGGGCAAAAAAAAAAAGCTCGATATTTATAAAAAAGTTGAAAAGTCACACACTAAAGATAGGGGCCTGGAACATTTCAGGGCACGTTTGTTTATGGAAAACACTCATACTGGTGGAGTCCTTAAAGTCCATTCCCTGGAGGCTGACACAAAATTGGCAGAGGACAAGAAAGGGTTTTAAATATCTTTTATAGCGATCATCACTGCTTCTGTAAGATAGGCCCTATTTTGAGAAGGATCAACAGTTTAGAAATAACCTGTGAAGTCTGGTGCTCAGCCTTAAGGTGAAATCACTGGGTAGATGACTGAAGCAAGTAGGTGTATCCATTCCCTTTATTACTTTTCTGTGATAGCGGATCTAATTCGTGTTGTGCTTGTCATTAAATGAGCATGGGGATTTCTCTATTTGGGTATGTTCGGAGGCTAACAGGATTTTGGCTTTAGTGCACTTACTTTTAAATTCTAATATTCAGATATACCGACAGAGGGTAAGAACATTAGAGCATAAGTAGCATATCTAAAAAACAGCAAATATTTGTTTTTCGATGTTCCTTATCGATGTAAAGGCACATGGGCATAAAACCCTCGATTACACGCCGAGTGGATTAGAATTCTTTATTCCATAATTCCAAATCTATAGTGGCGGATTTCAAGTACCTAGGCAAGCCAATGCAACCAAGGTAGAGGGTTTGGAAATGAGCTGACCTGGTACAAAGAATCATGTCCTGGCGTATCAATAATGTACTTGCAGGAGAGAGGAAGAGGGAGATGACAGTTTGGGCACGTCACGTGTAAAAGACCTCTTGGAAATAGCATTTCTATAAAGCCAACATACTTTGGGAAGGCCCAGAAAGATGAAGCAGCGTTATCAGCAACATTGCCCCCGTCAGTCATGACTTCTAGCTTGGTTTTGCAAAGGGAGAACAAAAGTTTGGTCCAGAATTTTCTTTTTCTCTTTTTATGTCCGTAGGGTTCCAAAAAGCTTCTGAGTGCCTTGGAATTTCTATTAACTAATCAATCACCAAAATTGTATTTCACATTTAAAATACAATTATGTGAAAGGATGTATGGAAGCATGGGTGGGCAGTGGGATTTTATTTGAAAAATCCGTAGGGGGATTGTGTTGAAATGAATTCCTGTGCAACCCCTCACCTACATTGTGGAGACCTAATGAGTCACTTCCCGTAAAGCAAACACTGTTTTAGCACAAGTGTCAGAGGCCCAGGGAAAGGTTTCCATCTACCCGGATAACATCTTTGATTAGTCTCGTTTGCTGTTTCACCTCTGGCCTCCTGAACCCAAATCAAAGAGCAACTGAAGACCTCACAGCTGTAACTGTATCGTGCCTGGTGCAGAGGGACACTCCTTTCCACAGTGGCGGAGCACTGAAGCTGGGGGAGGTTCAAGTTCCTGACAAAACTTGACAAAACTTTGTCTAGATGATAAAGCTACAGAGCATTGATTCCAGTCTATATTTGCTAACATCAAAGTCCAGGCTTTATACAACTGTGCTGCCTCACTGCTTGTATGGACGGAGGGAAACTTTCTTAACAAAGTAATGCCTCTGAAATCAACAGCTGAAGTGTTTCCTTAGTATAAGGCAAATCATCCTAAATGGAGAACCCTTCCAGCTTTGCCTTTGGTGCCCTGATGGCTGGGGCTGTGGTGGACACAGCTGTGCTTTAAGCAGGTGGACTTCGAAAGTGTTTTACAGAAACAGAGTTCAGTCTTAATCCTGTTTCTGATAGACACTATTTTAAAACTTAGACTTGAGACACATTAAATTCAATAAATAAATAACAAGTTTCCAAAGAACTGATATTAAGATTAATATTTGATATGCTTTGCTTTGTGGATGTCAGTACCTAAGTGAATGTTTATCCAACACTTGGGAAAGGAGAGTTTCGCCCAGCAGTTTGATCAGTGAAGGTGGCTATTATAAATTACGTAGTTCTTAAATGCGGGGTTTTGTGTGTGTTTGAGGGATGGGGTACAGAAAACAGTAAAAGGTCTTCATTAATAAATTTTGGGCATTTGCATAGTTCAGATTAGAAATGTCTACTTTTCTCATTTAAGAAACAGCTTTTTGGTGCATCATGCTAAGCGAAATAAGCCAGGGGGCGAAAGACAAATACCATATGATCTCACCTATAAGCGGAACCTAACCAACAATGCAAAGAAGCAAGGCAAATATGGCCAGCAACACTGAAAGGAAAAGAAATCAACAGAGACAAGAGGGAAGGGGGGGCAGGGAAAGGGAAGGGAAGGGGAAAGTCAAGGAACATATAGCAAGGACTCATGGACAAAACCAAAGGGGAAGAGCTGAGGGAGGGAAGGTGGGAGGGGGCAAGGGAAAGAGGGGGGGGGGAAGGCAGAGACAAATGTATTTAAAAAGTAAATAAATTAATAAAAAAAAAAAAAAAAAGAAAGAAACAGCTTTTTTGGTTTCCTTGATCTCATAAAAAGGAAAAGAAACAGAACTAGCTATTTGCTTCTGCAGGGGGAGTTCTGTTTTTCAATGAGGTCTTCCTAAGTATACTGCTGACTCCCGAGTAGATTTCTTCATTACCCTGAACTACTCATTTTGTAATTCTCACTTCACGCTTAATAAATTGTAAAATGTCGATCTTCTTCAGTTGTCCAGAAGTGTCATGATGTCTATGTCTTACCTCCTTATACTTAGAACTCGACATGCTGACTAGTATGTATTTTCTTTGAAGAGTGTATTAAAATAGCTATTTGTAGAACATTTTAAAAAATAAGTAATTTGATCAGTCGAACTGGTCAATATAGATAATGTAAATCTAAAAATTGCCGTATGCCTTGTGCTTATTTGCTAAAGATGGTCTGAGAAGGGTGTGAATCAATCCACAAATACTTTAAAATGAATTAATTGAACAGACAAATAATAAATTATTGCCAGGAAAAAAAAAGAAAGAGGGGGATATGAAAATATGAGGGAGAGGTAAGTCCATAACAACTGATTGAAAGAAAGTGATAGATCCTTACCTTAGATTTGTAAATAAGTGAAATAAATGCTCAATATTTCCCTGCTTTGCGCTTTAAAAGTCAATACAGTCATGCCCTTCTTAATGATGGGATTACATTCTGAAGAATACATCCTTACGTGATTTCATTTATATGGGAACAGAGAGGAACACACTTATGCAAACCTAGATGGTATAGTTTACTACTGTAATTGTGCTCTGCTCTCGTGAGACCGGGAGCACAGTAGGTTTGTCCACACCGGCAGCACCACAAGGAAGTCAGTGAGGGCAGTGTAAGCTCTTGCAGGTGTCTTTTATTTTTCTCTTCTTTTTGTAATGCAAAGGCCTGATTTAAGACTTGATTGTTGAGGCCTCCACTTGCTGGGAGGCAGGCATTTCAAAGAGCATGCACTTCAACAAATGCTGTCTGGAATAAATACATTGCCAGTCACAGCTAGATTCAGTGCCAGGCCACCCACACCCACCGAGGCCTCTCTGTTTCAGATCTTAGGTTTATTTTGATATCTGATCATTTGGGCTACTTCTTTTTTTTCTCTCCCTGCTCTGAATCCCCACTCTTAGGTTTCAAACTGACCAGTAAAGAGTGAGCCCTGGAACCCTAATCCCCTGCCCTCATCTCCAATACAAGCAGAGCCTCAGGTCTGCGCGCTCATGGTTTGAGGCATCTTGTCATCCTAACAAGAACCACAAGGGTCAGATGAGTTCTAACACTGGCTTAGGAATGAGAGATGTCTGTCCTAGGTGACCGACTGCACCCAGGTATTTTTAACTGATGGAATTAATTGGGCAGACTGAGAATGCAAAAAACAGTAATGCATAGTGCTAGGATGTTAGGGCAACTACGATGGGACTAGGTGACAGGAAATTTTCAGCAACATTATAATCTTATGGGACCACCATTGTGTATGTGATACATTGTTGATTGAAATGTTGTTATGTGGACTGTAATTGTCTTCTGAAATCAAAGAAATAGCCTGATTAGGAGGCTCATTATGTGTTTTACACTAGGTTTGACCACTAGAGCCAATATAGAGGATTGTGTAAACTATACAAACATGTGATCTTGAAGGTCATATATTTGGACATTGGTCTTATAATGGTTTTTTTTTCTGTGAAAAATTGGCCTCATGTTCATGTGCTGGCTTTCTCTTATAACTGTCATCACCAGTTAAAACCAAATAGTTTTATGAACAATGAGAAAGAACTTGAATATAACACGTTTTCCAAAATGGTAACACAACTAGTTATTTAGGTGGTTTAATATAAAATATAAAACGACTTGCAAGGCTTTGAACAGGACCCACTTTTTTTTCCATTTTAATTTTATTTTGTATTGATTTTGGTGTACAGCTAGCTTAGTGGTTAGACAATTATATACTTTACATAGCGTTCACGTCTATATTTCCTGAACCCAAACTGGTACCATACATAGTCATCACAATATTATTGGGTATATTCCCTATGCTTTACTTACATCCTTGTGACTACTTTGTAACGACTGATCTATACTTCTCAATAACTGCCCCTTTTTTGATTCAGCCCTACAACCCCCTTCCCTCTGGTGAACGCTAGTTTGTTTTCTGTGTCTGTGAGTTTGTTCCAGTTTTGTTT